CTTAACTGTCAATGTCACAGAATTCGATGATGTTTCCTATTCGACGAATATGTATAAATCGGTCAGTCAGATGCAACGTAGAACTTCGTACGTAAATACATCAGTTCATGTTGCCATACCACATCAGCACAGAGATATAATTGTCAATTCAAATCCAATAGTAGAAGAGGTAGTAAAGGTGTTAGAAGTAATCGAAGAGGTTAGGATGAGAAGATATTATTCAAGAAGTATGATTCAGTGAGAAAAGTTTAGAAAGTCAAAACTAGAGGTGTTGAAGAATCTAGAAGATTAGGATTTGAGAGAACACAAAGAATGAATGCACCGGCGCCATTACAAACGATTTTGAGCCATGTCACTCAAGGTCTCTAACCATCGATTATTATCATCTCGCGGACCCCAACCAGGTAGGTAGTCGACAATTACCGACATGGCTAAGTCCACTAGTCAATGACTTCATGGATTTTTGCCATGTTTTGTTTGGCCGCCCCTAGCTTTCTTCCAACCTATTCCTACACTACAAAACAAAGCTCGTCGAGGCAGTCGGTGGTTATTCATACGTAACACATCTCCCAACCACTTTAACTGATGTAGTTTCACCACTTTACTCATTGATCTGCCATTCTTACCTAGCAACCGATTCCTAATAACAGCGTCGCTCACTCGGGTGTCCCACGATATACGAGCAATGCTTCGAAGACACCTATGATCGAAAACCAGTAACCTACGAATATCTTCTACTCTCATTGGCCATGTTTCACAGCCATAAAGTAAGACGGAGCGAACTACTGAGCATTACAGTCGTTAGCAAACGGATATCTCGCCTACGCCATAAGTGAAGCAGAGAACGAAACACCACCACAATCATTCACCATCTCAAAGATAGAACTAGTCCATTCGGTGAATATAACAGATATGATAAAGATGAACTGGTGATAGTGATTACATCATGGATTACGGTAATCATGAACTGGCGAAAATATATGCTGACATTAATTCAATGGATATATATGCTATGAAACTACACTGTGTGTTGATTGGAATTATTCACCTGTGGTAGTTCAACTCTTAACGTGGAACGTGGCCTTACAAGTACTAAGTAGTCTGCGAAAATCTCCGACGCTTGCACCCCCTACACCGAACAAAAAAAGCGAGCTAGTTTATGCAATGGTGTGAATTCGCGAGACCTTTCAGTTTAGCATGAAAAAAAATAAGAATCTATGTATCCGGTCTACTGCCTCTCACCTCACCATTTGTTTGAATTGTATGATATTGAATATCATCTTATTATTTATTCCAGACATGCTTTCCGATAAGGATTCTCAACATTAAACAACAAGAATAGGAGTAGCTGTGTAAGGTGTTAAAAACATTTTCATTACTTACTTTGGCATCCGCTTAATATGTAATGATCTAGGTATAATAATCGGTCAGATAAAATTTTTTAATGAATTATGATTCTGTCTTGCCATGATTAAAGAATTATAAGAAGATTTTATTGATCATTTATGTTATTTTATGCTTTTTATTCCTGCGACATATAGTTTATTTAGGTAAATCTTCATGTAATCAATTCTAATGTCTAAAGAGATTGTCAGTACATTTAAGACTTGTTATAAATATTACGAATATTTATTTAGCTACTTAATTATTTGTTAGTAGTTAAAACATACCTGCTTATTTATTATAGAATGTCGGAGGTGTGGATTAAAGTAATGCATTGGACGTACACATTCAAAATGGCAGAATCTTTTCTACTAAGACACTCAAGAAATTCATTTGATAATCCAAAGAACACCTACTTATACAGCTATTAGGATAAACAGTGTTGTTATGCACAGTACATACATTTCAACGTTCCACTATGGTTGTATTTCTTGACATAAAAGCGACATTTAACTC